GACATCTCTCTTAATGACGTTGTGAGAAGAGAATGGTTTCTGGAGATGAGAGGTTGAGGCGGTAAGTAGGAGAATTTTTTTCAAATGAATGAGTAAATGGATGGATGGACGATCCATTTGAGTGTGAGAAGTTGATGAATGCCAAAGAATAATCACTAAGGCTCTAGGGAGATGAGGGGGGATTAACTGTAATATCCATGTAGAAGGGGACCGCCTTTAGAGTGGAGGGAAGAACAGCATAGTGGAAAATGCTCTCCTAAGGAAAGAAATGCTGTATGTTACATATTTATTACTTCATTGTGAATTTACTATTAAACTGGGTGGTTGAGAGCCTTTTATCCCATTTGTAAGATGCAACTATCATTCAGTAGTTTTATCTTTTTCTCCTGCCAGCTACTTTTGATTACCTCTACCAAGAAAATCCACGTTTTTTCCCGGACCAAAAACAATATATGCAGTAGGGGCACCTGGGTGGCTCAGTCATTAATCGTCTGCCTTCGGCTCGGGTCATAATCCCAGAGTCCTGGGATCGAGCCCCGCATCGGGCTCCCTGCTCTGCGGGAAGCCTGCTTCTCCCTCTCCCACTCCCCCTGCTTGTGTTCCCTCTCTCGCTGTGTCTCTCTCTGTCAAATAAAATCTTAAAAAAAAAAAAAACAATATATGCAGTAAATACTCTGGTTGTTGGGGAGGATTACTCTGTACACATGACATCTTTCCCCCGTGTTTAGAGTACTTTATTTTTATTCCACTGCAGGGAGTTTTGTCAGAGCTTGTATTTTCACTTCCTGTGACTTTTTTTTCTTGTGTTTTATGAATTATGACAAAATTCCACTACAGGGGGGAGACTCTAATAGCCTTCACTGACTAAATGTGACCTGAGCAGTAGTTGGTGTCAGGAGCAGAAAGGTACCAACTCCCCTTTTCTTCAGAAGACTTTAAAGTAGACTTTTATGTTTGAGTGGGGTTTTGGATAGGCAATACTTGTACATGATAGTAGAATCAAGAGGTAAAAACTACATACAGTAAAAAGATTTTTTGACTCCTGTTCTCTCATTCGCTTTCTTTCCTTGCCAAAGTAGCTGGTGTTAACTATATTCTTAAGTATCCTCGCAGAGATTCTGTACATCTACAGACGAACTCACATATAAGTATAAAACAAAATTAAACTACTTTATTTACACTAATGGTATAATGTACCTTTTTTATTCATTTAACATTATATATTGAAAATTGCTCCATATTAGTGTATTAAAGAACTTTTTCATCCTTTATGGGCACATTGTATGGGCATATCACTATTAGCTAACTGGTGTCCTATTTATGGTTGATGCTAGTGTTTGTGATTAAAATTGTTTTTTTAGGCAGCAGAAGTCATTGTAGATCTCAATAAACTGTTAAGTATAAGGATCTTGAAATGAAAGATAATTGAGTTGTCATATTGAAAGACAATGATAATGTCATGTTTTCTTACAAAGTAAAACAGTTTAGATTTATTTGTCCTACCCACACAATTTATTTACTGAACGAACAGGAGTTTTATGGTCATATTAACATATTTACCTTTCTACCTGATGTTATATTATGTACTTCAAAAAGGCCCAGTGCCTCCTCCTTTCAGAAATTAATTTGAGACTTTTGATTCTTATGCTTTATGACTGACATTAATTTCATTTGAGTGTATGTCTCAAATATTTCAGCTGTAAGAAAAATTTTTATTCTGGAATATATAACATCATTCTCTACAGAAGAATCAACTCTTGTTTCTATTTAGTTACAAAATCTTGGTTTATTCCTTATATTTGGGGTATTTCATATCTCAATATTTTATTTCCTGTTTGTATTGCCAACATGCTTCAGTTATGACACTGGCAGTTTGCCGGTTTAAATTTTACCCCCTCTGTTGGCTTTCAGAGGTGTTACATTCCTTTTGGAATGGTGTTAGGAATAACATTTATGCTTTTTTTCATGTAAGTAAAAAATTAGTAATGATGCAAATATGAAATAGGCTACATATGGGATTATTTTACATTAATGAATGTTTCCAGTGGCCGTGAATGTTCTGGTTTTCATGAATGTGTTGTGAGGAACCTTCATCAGAATGTCTGTTTCATCAGCCGCTGAGAACAAGGCCATGAAAAGCAAAAAATAGGAATATAGAATATTCATGTTTATAGTAAGCAAAAAGTAGGCTTGGCATGTTAGAGCAATAAAAGGATTTTCTGAATATCTTCTAGTTGCCATCTACCATATATTAAACTGTCAAGTAATAGAGTTGATAGAGTGAAGTGATGAAGATGTCTTACGGCACCTGATTAGCACACCATCTAGCTCAGTGTTTGTGTCTGTTACCAGTGGGAAATCATGATAATTGTCTTCTATAACATTATATGTACAGAATGAGGTATTTACTGGCTTTGTACATTCTTAGCACCATCCTTTTAAAACCAAACCATCAGTTAATGGAGTTTGCTCTGTACAGGTCACAGCTCTTGTAGTTAAAGGTTATATCCTGTTTCTCCATGATTAAGTAGAGTTGTAGCACACTCAGTAGGGGAAGGATGTTAGGTTCTAAAGTTAGCACATAGGTGCGCCTGGGTAGCTCAGTCATTTGAACATCCAACTCTTGGTTTCCGCTCAGGTCACGATCTCAGGGTCTTGGGATCCAGCCCTGAGCTCAGCGAGGAGTCTGCTTGAGATTCTCTCCCTTTCCCTCTCCCTCCTCTTCTGCCCCTCTTCCACTCATGGTCTCTCTCTCTCAAATAAATAAAATCTTAAAAAAAAAAAAAAATAAAGTCAGGGGCGCCTGGGTGGCTCAGTCGGTTAAGCGGCTGCCTTCGGCTCAGGTCATGATCCCAGAGTCCTGGGATCGAGCCTCACGTCAGACTCCCTGCTCTTTGGAGAGCCTGCTTCTCCCTCTCCCTCTGCCTGCCTCTCTGCCTCCTTGATCTCTCTCTCTCTCTCTCTCTGTGTCAAATAAATAAATAAATAAAATCTTTAAAAAAAAAAAAAGTCAGCATAAAAGGTAGAAAATATGTGTAGGGTGTTTTCTCTTAAACTCCTTAAGTCATTCATAGACTAGAATGTACTAGGTTTTCTGGGTTCACAAAGTAGTTGATCTGTATTTAGTGGCTCTGTTTATGAAACAAAACATGTTGAAACACTAGACTCACATTCAGCCTGATGAGAGGTATGTGGGAACTAGGAAGGACTGTGAGGAAACAGCATAGTCAGGTCTGGCCTCTTAATACCCCTGTAGAGCAACTCCTCCTGAGGGGAATAGCAGATAGGTTTGATGCATACAATTACTTTGGGTGCTCATTTGCCAAATGCATATAATTGAAAGGTTTTTTTTTTAATGTGTGTACATTTGATGTTACTCCACTATAATGTCCTCTCTTTGAGGATTTGAGTGTAAAAGTAATCATTCTAGCTAACTTGTTTTTGAGACTAGTTTTTTTGAAGCATTCTTTTTCATATATGTTAAAGTCAGAACATACACATTTAACTGTATCAGAGTTTTGAGGACCCCTTTCTTGAACATTTTAAGTAACGTTTTTAAAATTGAAAATCCTTGTTTGGTTCCTTGCTGGGCTTGCAAGTTCAGTAATTGAGGATTAATATTATGCCATTTTTAGTAGTTGTGTATGCTAGTATTTTGATAGTACTGAGTCCTTTGAATTTGACTATTAAGCAGATGACAGGTACATTTTAAAGGCCTGTGTGATGGTAACTTTTGCTACTAATTTAGAAAGGTAGGCATGTTGTGTTGATTACATAATCTTCCATTTCTGTTTATTGATTTTGTGTGTTTTTGTACAGGTTGCTTTCCTGTTGCATCTTTGACCTAGTTTCCTAAACTCTGCTCCATGATTTAACTTGAAAGTCTGAAATGAAGATGGAGGAGGCAGTGGGAAAAGTCGAAGAACTCATTGAGTCTGAAGTCCCACCAAAAACATCTGAACAAGAGACAGCTAAGGAGGAAGATGGATCTGTAGAACTGGAATCTCAAGTTCAGAAAGATGGGGTAGTGGATTCTACAGTTCTTTCTTCAATGCCCTGCTTATTGATGGAACTGAGAAGGGACTCTTCTGAGTCTCAGTTAGCATCCACAGAAAGTGACAAGCCGACCACTGGCCGAGTTTATGAGAGTGACTCCTCTAATCACTGCATGCTTTCCCCTTCCTCTAGTGGTCACCTGGCTGATTCAGACACGTTGTCTTCTGCAGAAGAGAATGAACCCTCCCAGGCAGAAACAGCAGTGGAAGGAGACCCTTCTGGAGTGTCTGGTGCCACCGTCGGGCGCAAGTCTCGGCGTTCCCGATCTGAAAGTGAAACATCTACTATGGCTGCCAAGAAAAACCGGCAATCCAGTGATAAACAGAATGGCCGAGTCGCCAAGGTTAAAGGTCATCGGAGCCAAAAGCACAAGGAGAGAATCAGGCTACTGAGACAGAAAAGGGAGGCTGCTGCACGGAAGAAGTATAACCTATTGCAGGACAGTAGTACCAGTGATAGTGACCTGACTTGTGACTCAAGCACGAGCTCATCAGATGATGATGAAGAGGTTTCAGGGAGCAGCAAGACAATCACTGCAGAGATACCAGGTAGAGGATGTTTTTTAAACTGACTGTAGAGCGACCGATGGCATTTCTAAGCTGTCAGGCTCAGTTAGATGAGTGACACTTGAAAAAATCCAGGAGACCTGCAGCTCTGTGTAAATTTGAAGACTGCAGTGTATTAACAAGACATGGCCAATTTTAAAAACCTGTTCTGAGGTTTCCAGTGCACTTTAGCACGTCAGCAAAAAAATATTTAAATGATTAATGATAGGGACAAGATTATTTTTAAGTAATGGAATTTCTCTCACGTCTCTTTCTCTGTAACACATTATCTGAACTCCCATCATTGCCTTTTTAGCACTGCTTAGGTTTAATACTCACTGTTCAGCATTATTACTAAGTAAATTCTCCTCAGGAATAGGCACTTTGCTTTATTATATAGCCACTGTACTCGAGCTTATGGTGTCTGAAATGACATGTTCTATCTTCCGTTTAAGTTTTCTAGTAACTGTTCCTCCTAAAACAGTAGTTTTATGAGTTTTTCCCCAGTTCACTGCATGATGAGATAGTTACCTTGTACATTTTTCTATTCTAAGTTGTCCCTTGCATTGGAAAGAATGCTTTTTTGCAGTATTTTCCCTTTACTCTCCCAAGCTTTAAGAAGTTTGATAGAAATCTGCTTATTCTAGCTCTCACTGGTGTAAGAGTGTGTAATTTATTACATGTTAGACATATCTGCTTTTTCCTTACTATCACGACTGGTAGTGTGTACTACAAAGGCAGTCTTGAGATTTCAAGGTGGAAGAAAGAGGAGGTCTGAATGGTTCTTAATTGGTGAATTCTCGTTATTGAAGAGACTCTTACGATTAGGAACATTTTATAAAGTACCTGGCATTTAATAGATGATGACAGCGTTGTTTATTGCTACATTAAAGAAGGGGAGGTTTTGGTTTTTAAAATTTTATGGGTGACTGTTCTTTCCTCTTAGTTTTCTGAAAAGTTTGTTTCTATACATGAAGACAGCATATTGCTGATCTACAAAGAGTATTTCAAGAAAAATCATATTGGTTAATTAAGCCTGTAGCCAACCAAACTTACATAAATTCAGTAACAAGAATGATCCTATAGGTGTTCATCTTATTATAATAAAAGTCTCATCCATATAGTATATTAAATATGAGTTTTTAACAATTAGAAATGCTTACTGTTTTAATATCTGTTGAATTCCTTTGGTAGTTTGTGTTAAAATTGCTGGGGAGGGGGTTTATTTGAAGTTCATCAGTTGAATGCATGAGAGAAGCGGACTTTGGGGTTGTTCTCAGGCAGATTCTAGGTATATTTCAGTTTTGCATTTAATATTTTTTAGAACGGTTGATTAACACCTGTAAAATTGTTTGTTCATGCATTCTTATGTCCTGTGTTCTGATCTGTTAATCAAGATCATAATGATACAGTGCTTAATTTCACTCACTAAACAGATTTTGATGTAACCACCCCAGTATTTTGCCTTCTTATGGAAAGGGAGAAGAAGGTGGGTAAACAACAAAATAGACCCAGTTATAGAGGTGGCATGAGAAATGTGTTCATGGGCACTCTCCTGTTTGGCTTACATAGATTAGGTGTGCTTTGTTTATATTATCTAAACCTCCTTGCTAATTGACTACTTTCACCAGTGTTTAAAACTTCTAAAACACTGGTGGTCTGTTTCTCGTCTATTCTGAATTTTATACAAACCAAAACACCAAAGTAAGTTATCTGAATCTATGATTTAATTTCTCTCGTTCACACCATTTAGTAAGTTTGTGGCTTTTGAAAGTTTGTACAGTTTTCTAAGGTAATCCCTGGAAAATCAAATGGTAGGTAAGGTGCCGGGCCGCTGTATATGACTGCTTACACTGTGTGTACTGCACAGTTTCAGGAGGTGCTGTTCATATAAGTGGGCATGCAGAGCAGCAAGGATGGAACAGCCCAAGTTTAAATATTAGGAAGTTCCTTTCAGCTGTCTATATTGCTACCCCTAAAAAATTGTTACATCGTGCATTTTTAATGTAATAATTATGTATATGTCAGTTTCCTGAGTCACATTATGACTTCAGGGAAGGGGATACACTCAACCTAATAGCAAGGGCAATTGTTGAAAAGTTGTATAAATTGTAAAGATTGGATAAATTATGAACTGACTTGAGTGCAGCAACATAGACATTCAGGTGAACTTAAACTGGATGTGCCTGACAGAATCTCTTGGATGTTGACATTTGAATCAAGCTGTTTACACAGAATGGAAATCAAGAGGAAAAGTAAAAACAGATTCTTGCTATCCTTTTTCATCAAGGTACAACTAATTTAGTAATTCAGAAAATGCTTCATTTATAAGCTTTGTCAGCAGCATAAACGTTGAAGGAATTAGGCTAAATGTTCTCTTATGCCAAATTTACAATTAATGCTTTTTCTTTTTTCATTTTTATTTTTTTAATGCATTTTCTTTTAAAGAATGAAAATGATGGAGACTTCTGTATTCTATAGTGCATGATCATGCTTAATTGAGTTCGATATCTGGAAACAGATGTTTATGAAGATTGTTTTTTAGTTAACAGTTAACTGACAGGCAACTTATTATCCACACTGAATCATTCTCTACGTGAGGTTTTGAGACTAAATTGCTGTTTTAAGAATCTGTTTGGAGATATCATATCAAGATAATTCTGGCAGTTCTTGCATTTGGGGGACTTAGAGATGAGCAAAAATATAGAGTATTTTGAAGTGAATATTAATGTGAAAATACTTTGTAGTGTCTTGTGTATTCAAGGCTTTTAATCAAATATCTCATTTATCTTTATAGATGACCTTTTTGTATTTTTAATCACTCCTTGCAGTTTTATGGTGGGACGTCACCTCTCTGTAAAATCACTTTAAGTTGAATCTAGTTCTGTAAAGTCCGCTCTTGCAGAGAATTTTGATTTTAGTGAATATGAATAATGGACATTGGACTCCATTCAGTTAAAGAAATCAGTTCTCTGAACAGACTTACTTACGTCCATCAGTGTACATGGGCAGCAGGGAAAAGTTTTTCCAATAACTTTTTTTTTTTTTTTAAAGATTTTATTTATTTGAGATAGCAAGCAAGAGAGCAGGAGTGGGGGAGCAGAGGGAAAGGGAGATGGAGACTCCCCACTGAGCAGGGAGCTTGACAGGGGCTCGATCCCAGGACCCCGGGATCATGACCTGAGCTGAAGGCAGAGGCTTAACCGACTTCACCCAGGGGCCCATACCTGTTGTTTTTAGCATAGAGTAAACCTCAGGGTGGCTTCATCTTGTCTTGGCTATAATGACCTGCTTTTGTGTGGTTTAATAGTCCACCATATAAATGTCTCTTCAGACTGAGGTTCCAAAAAGAGTATCCACCTTCATAGGTAAGGGTCAGTTTTCTTGGTGGGTTTGCATTTAGAAAATCTAATTTTGCATTTAGAAAATATCTGTTTCAGAGAATGTCAGGGAGGCTGTTGAGGACAGCTGTCTAAGATCACCTAATTCTCAGTCCATGTGGCCAGGTCCAGCCCCACTGAAGCCAGGATCTCAGTACCCCTTACTCACCATACACACTTATGCGCTGTAAGGCACCCTGATAAGCTATTATCTTACCTCACAGTGTTTCTGAGGCAGAGACTTACTATGCTTCATCAATTAATTCTTGTTTAAAAATAAAAAAGAATTTTTTTAAGTAGTAAATGCTTTGTAGAAAATTTTGAAAATAGAAAAATGTGAAGTAAAAGATTAAAATCATTTACAATCCTGCTTTTGTTAACATTTGAGTATGTTGCTTTTCATAATACGTAACAAAATTTATCACCCTATGTATACTTCTATCTTCCTTTCCCTCTTAACATTGCATTTTGAACATTTTAATTAAACACAATATTGTCCCTAAAATGTATGGATTTTGAATTATTTAGCTAACTATAAGATAAATTCCCCAATGTTTGGCCTTTGGGCTGTTTTTGGTTTTTGCTATTATGAGAAAAGGCTATGAATACTTTAAGACTCTTGACACATACTGTCAAACTGTTTTTTAAAATATATTAAGTTTATTGCATCCAGGAGTTTGTGTATTCGTTGCATTATGTTCTTTCTATTGAATATTTATGTTTTTAAAAACTCCTGCTGAGGGGCGCCTGGGTGGCTCAGTCGTTAAGCGTCTGCCTTCGGCTCAGGTCATAATCCCAGGGTCCTGGGATCGAGCCCCACATTGGGCTCAGTTGGGAGTCTGCTTCTCCCTCTCCCACTCCCCCTGCTTGTGTTCCCTCTCTAGCTTTGTCGCTCTCTGTCAAATAAATAAATAAAATCTTTAAAAAAAAAAACTCTTGCTGATTTGATGGAAGAATTGTATCTTAGTGTTAATTTCCATTTCTTTGATCACTAGTGAAGCTGAAAGATCATGTTTGGCCATTTGTTATTTTGATAAACATTCTGTTCATATTCTTTGCACATTTTCCTCCTGCCACATTTGTTTTTCTTACTGATTTGTGAGGGTTCTTAGCCTGTTGAGGATTGAATTACTTGAAAAATTTTTATATTAAGCAGTGGGAACTCATGGGAGGAGACCCCAAACCCACATCAGCAGTCCTATAAATTTTTTCCTAGATTGAATATGAGTGGCTACAAGCTCCACCTTCCCATTTTAAGCCTCTTATAATCTTACTGTATTTTGGTGGCTATTTAGGAGACTCACTAAATACATTGATAACAAATACACTGAGACATAGTAATCAGGTGAAAACTGCCTATTTTCAGCTTATTAAAAGCAAACAAGGCAGGTAAAATCTGTGCATTTTTCAGTCTCACTCTAGGTTAGAATCACTTGGGAGCATTTAAAACTAATGATGCCCAGGCCCCACGCCAGACCAGTTAAATCAGAATCTCTGGGTTTCACCCAAGGCATCAGCATTTTTTCCAAGCTTTTTTGAGATACAGTTGACATATAACATCATGTAAGTTGAAGGTGTACAATGTGAAGATTTGATGTATGTATATACTGCAAAATGATTACT